AAAGAATGTACTTGCATTTTGAGTTATCCTGTATTTGATTTAAGGAATATTATGAAAATGAATATGTTTTATAGTTTTTAACAATTATTAAAAAACTATGGTTGCAATAGATCAATGTTCCTACAATCCTTTTTAATTATACAGGGAGTTAAACTTGATACGATTTTCAGGTAATATTGGTTATAACTTTTTAAATACCCGGTATAACATAATCAAACTTTACATTATTGTAATTTGGAAGTGAATCAGATTTCAAATTTAAAATAAAATACAGGGTGTTTCATTTAAAAAAACATAAGTTTGGTCTGCCACCATCTTATGGAACACCCTGTAGGATTGTAACTAATTTTAAAATATGGAGTTTAAAGCTGCCTACAATTTTTGTTAATAACTTTTTTTTGTAATTTTTACTATAACAGATCTACTGAGCTTCCTCACACTAATCAATCACCCTGTATAAGCATTCACAAAAAGAACCAAAGAAAATAATATAAAAAATTACATGTTCTTCAGTCGGTCAGATAGCCAAGCGGACTGGGCGGCCGGATTCTCACTCGCTTTACTGCGAGTGGTTCAGTGAAAGTGAGTTCGATCCCCAGCTTGGTGTACAGAAAACAAAAAGGCTAACGCAGCAGTTTAAAATTCTAAATTAATCTGCGGCTTAAACTAGAATATGCTGATCGGTCTGTGGTGGAGCAGTACGGCAAGAGATAAGGGCTTGCGGCTCGGTGATACTCCCCAATAGATCCCTATTGGAAGGGCGTGTGCCTCCTAAATACCGTATATATATATATATATATATATATATATATATATATATATATATATATATATATATATATAAATATATATATATATGAAATAACGAGAAGTCAAGAGACTCTCTGATAGCAAAATAGGTGAACCGCAAATTCAAAGCCTCTTGCTAGAGGCTTTCAACGACGCTAGAAGTACATTTTTACTTCGACATGCATCTACGATTCACCTTTAAAATTTACCATCTTTTTTCACTCTTTACGTAGAGAAAGACGTTTAAATGAAAGTAAAAGATTGCATTTCATTTCGATCGGAACTCCACCATAGCCCGACACGTGTTTCGGGTTATTCAACCCATCGTCAGGAGCTCTTGTGGAAGTTCAACCGAAATGAAATGCAGTCTAGTAGTTGGTTATTATAACTAAGATAATAACCAGGGTACGCTAGCAGCGACATCTATATGAAATAACGAGAAGTCAAGATACTTGCTATCAGAGAGTCTCTTGACTTCTCGTTATTTCATATAGATGTCGCTGCTAGCGTACCCTGGTTATTATCTTAGTTATAATAACCAACTACTAGACTGCATTTCATTTCGGTTGAACTTCCACAAGAGCTCCTGACGATGGGTTGAATAACCCGAAACACGTGTCGGGCTATGGTGGAGTTCCGATCGAAATGAAATGCAATCTTTTACTTTCATTTAAACGTCTTTCTCTACGTAAAGAGTGAAAAAAGATGGTAAATTTCAAAGGTGAATCGTAGATGCATGTCGAAGTAAAAATGTACTTCTAGCGTCGTTGAAAGCCTCTAGCAAGAGGCTTTGAATTTGCGGTTCACCTATTTTGCTATCAGAGAGTCTCTTGACTTCTCGTTATTTCATATAGATGTCGCTGCTAGCGTACCCTGGTTATTATCTTAGTTATAATAACCAACTACTAGACTGCATTTCATTTCGGTTGAACTTCCACAAGAGCTCCTGACGATGGGTTGAATAACCCGAAACACGTGTCGGGCTATGGTGGAGTTCCGATCGAAATGAAATGCAATCTTTTACTTTCAAATATATATATATACATATATATATATATATATATATATATATATATATATATATATATATATATTTATATATATATATATATAAATATATATATATATATATATATATATATATATATATAAATATATATATATAAATATATATATATATATATATATATATATATATATATATATATATCGGAAAAAGGAGTACTACCGTCAATCCAATATATATATATATATATATATATATATATATATATATATATATATATATATATATATATATATATATATATAAGGATCACTCAGACGAGTGGTGGGTTCTTATATCGGTCTCTAGGTGGAGAAATAAAAGACAAAGTTGATAGGCTACTTTATCTATTTTGAAGACGTTTCGCTTTCGAGTTTTGAAAGCATCATCAGTTCATCTTAAAAAGACATGTAGCAGTCAATGTTATTAACAATAATGTGAATGAAACTAAGTAAATGGACATAATACGCTGATTTTGTATAAACAGTTAAGTAACTAACAACATATATGAACTTATAAAAATTAGCACAGCAAATGACCATGTGGTCTACAGTAAATTCAATGTTATTTAATGTTAATTAGTGAGCAAGAACCAAGAAAATCGTAGATTAAATAGTTGGAAGTTATCTATGATTTTCTTGGTTCTTGCTCACTAATTAACATTAAATAACATTGAATTTACTTTAGACCACATGGTCATTTGCTGTGCTAATTTTTATAAGTTCATATATGTTGTTAGTTACTTAACTGTTATATATATATATATATATATATATATATATATATATATATATATATATATACATGTTCTTCAAATGCGTTGTCTTTGGTTGGGTCACTTAAAAGATAAATAAAACGGTGAAACTATTTTCTAGTTTTCGATAAATTTCAGGTTTTTGGATGGTACATGAGACGCTTATAGTGACACTATATTATTCTTACAGAAATGTTATTATCGTAAACATTGTTTTATTATTGTTGTATAAACTAGTGGACATTGCTCCCCTAGTTCTGTAATGCACCTTGATCGGTCAGAACCTTTTTTGTCGTTATATAAATTACTTTTCTGAAACAGCTTAAGCATGCACAGTAGTTTTGATTAAATTATAAGTATCAACTTTGCAAGTTCCGTGAAAAAAGAGTGGAAGAAAAAGTAAAGAGAAATAAGTGATGTATTCGACCGTTAATCGATGACAATTCATTTTATATAACAATAAAACACTGAAAACTTTGTTTTAAAAACTCCCACAAAATTTATTATAATATCACTACAGCACTATGGCAGAGTGCGTTTCTCAAGTGATATATTTTTGGTATGTGTCTACACTTTATAGTCTTTAACTGAATAGGTTGAGAAGGGAAGAACTGTTAAGGTCGCGGCATACTATAATGCAGGTATAGTTTCCGGCACTTAGCGTTTCCATTTCAGCAATCGGTCTGCACGTTCACATTTTCATACATAGAACGTTTCAGTTTGTTTCGGTGAAGATATGATCTCGCTTTTCGCGACAATTTTATGTGCAGCTGCTCTTCTACTTAACGATAAAGAAAGAAAATCTGTAGTAAAAAGAAGGTTTGAAGTACATCCAATGCTAAGAGAAAGGAAAAAGGAAAGTGAATACTGGACTTATAAAGAATTAATTGATGACGATGAAAAATATTATGGATACTTTCGAATGAATAGGATTCAGTTTGAATATATTTTAAATTTAATCACATCTTTCGTTAAAAAACAAAATACTACATTTAACGAAGCCATACATATCAAACCAAAGAGTATTTTTAAAAAAGAAGAGGTTTCACTTCCGTGCAGAATGCAGAAGCAATGAAAACACAGACATAAATGACCAAATAGCCTCGAAAATTATTTTTTTAAATAATCTATATCAAAATCAAACAAATCCTAAATAAACAACGAGGAGAAAACGACGGATCCCAAATTCACATTATACGTACCAACAGGTTTCGACTCGTTCCGTAGCCGTCGGCATCCGTAAAATATTTTATTCGAATATACCGAACGGAAACGTTAGGTGCCTGATACGATATGTTGCGGACAGTGTGAATTGTTCATATTTAAAACCATTTAAATTATATTTTTCGGAAACTAAACGCTGTTGGCTGGAAACGCAACGTGCACGATAGTATGCCACGACCATTAGTCTCAAGTTGGTCATTCAGAATTATGTCTATATTTTTTAATTCGTTAATTTCCATAGATTCTAATAAAGGTAGCCTGAGGCTTTTTTTTTGGAAGAAAAGAATTTGAAATTTATTATTGAAATATTGATTATGAATTAAAAGGTGAAGTGCGTATGTAGAATCTAGTTTTCTATGATTGAAAGCCCTTTTATGTTCTGCTACACGTTTGTTAAAAGTTCTAAAGTTTGATCGATGTAAGTTTTTGGCAAACGTCACATTTAAATTTTTATACACTACTGTGTGAATGCTTTTTACACCACTGTGTAAATAACAACTCGGGCGAATATATTAACTTAAATGTGACTTCCCAAAAACTTACATCGGTCAAATTGGTAGAACTTTTAACAAACATATAGCAAAACATAAAAAGGTTTTCAATAATGAAAAAACAGATTCTATATACGCATTTTACGATCTAGATCATAATCATTATTTTAATGACGAATTTTAAATGTTTCACATCCAAAATAAAGGCATTAAGCTATCTTTTTTAGAAACTATGGAAATCAACTAATTAAAAAATACAGACATAAGTCTAAATGACCAACTTGAGACAAACAGTTCTCCCCTGAACGGGGGATAAAGGATAAAGTGAAAAGCATAGCAAAAATAGATTACTTGAGAAAGACACTCTGCCGAAACAGCTGAAGTGATAAAATATTATAATAAATTTTGTGGAAGTTTTAAAAATAAAGTAGACAGAAATGTTAAGAAATCAACGTTTATTTCCGCAGTATAAAATTTAAAAATTTTTTTTAGCATGACCATAAAGTTATCAACACAAAGGTATCGGATTTCGTTGTTCAGCAGTGTATTTTATATCTTATGTATTTAATAATAAAAATAAGATATTGGACTTTTCAGTCGTATTTTATTGTTTAGTTCGTGTTACCGTTACTAAACTGTTGCATTAATAACTAGTTTAATAAAAACAGCTGTTAATTTAGAGAAATACTTGTTTTAGCTTCAGAAGGCTGTCGTTCCGACTATTTCAAATGTGATAACAACAGATGTATCGATCCTAAACTTCATTGCGATGGGTTTGATGACTGCGGTGACCGCTCTGATGAAAAATTCGAGCAATGTTTGCATCACTCGAAAGCACCAAAATGTACATTGGAGGAATTCGCATGTACCACTAATATTTCCATTTGTCTTCCAAAATCAGCTAAATGTAACGGAACATCAGAATGCCCAAATAAAGAAGACGAAAAGGATTGTTCAAAATGCGAAGAAGATGAATTTGAGTGTAAGAATAAGCATTACAGAGAATGTATTCCTAGATCCTGGCTATGTGATGGTAGTGATGATTGCGGTGATAATAGTGATGAGAATATGGAAACATGTTCTTCAACACTTAAAACTCTTGTAAATATCACTGCTGTTGCTGATCCGTGTCTAACCGGATATAGGTGAGTAGTGGATTTATTTATAACTATGGAAATATTTTTCTCATCTAAGTAATTAAAACACAGTTTATAATATATAAAATTTAATTTTGTCCGCAACCTCACGAATCTTTCGATATATGGAAGGCAACCATATATATGTATTTCTGACTATTGGTCGTCTTCAGTAGTACGGTGCAGCAGTTAGCAAACGAGGAGTTAACTTGTTGCGAGCTATGCCGATACCTTTTACCTTTATTTTACTATCAACTCGCATTAACCTACTTTTTGTTTATATATATATATATATATATATATATATATATATATATATATATATATATGTATATATATATATATTATATATATATATAATATATATATATATATATATATATATATATATATATATATAAATATGTTTTGGATGGGTTGGAGTCAATAAAAGGGCCTTTTTAGGTAACTATTTTTATCTCGAGCTTTCAATTGGGTTTACAATCATTTTCAAGAGCTGCTAAAAATACAAAATATCTTACAAAGCGGAACTAGAAAAAATAAAAAAAAATATTAACTCAACAAATAAAGTTGGTTTTGTTAATAAATTTATACTGCTAAATATATTTCAAAATATTATTTTAAAAATTAGATTATCTAATGAATATCTCTTAAATTTTGTAATATAATTTTGAAAATTTTTTTTACCACAAAATCAATTTAATTTATACATAAGTTAGAATAGCGACCAATTAAAAATAAGCCTCATTGTCATGAATGTCAACTTACAATTTTCATTTTTGATAATTATTATATTGCCAAAAACTAAAATTTTATTTAAAAATTCTTTTTTATTTAGTAATTAAGAAGAAGATTTATTCATCATTGATAGATGTCTGCAAAATGTAACAAGTATATGGAAAATTAAATTAGAATGTAATATTTTACTGATTTTATAAATAACTATAGAATTATAATATAATTATAAATTTTGCTTAGATTTTGAATTTCTGATTTTTTGTTTAAATTATTACCACTTCTGCTAATACAAACCATTTGTAAAAAGGTCCTTTTGAATGTATTACTTTCAATACACACAATTTTAATGGTATCAAAATCCTTAATATGATTTTTGTTGATTACATGCTTTGCTAAAGCACAAGATGGTTTTTTAATTCTACAATCACTTTTGTGGGAAATAATACGGTCTGACAGATTTCTTTCGGTTTCACCAACATAAACAGTTTCACACTGCGTACAACTAATACTGTATAATACATTTCTTTTATCTAATTTGTCTTTAGTTTTGGATTATAAAGATGAAATAGTTTTGATGTTCTTTGTTGCTCTTTTTATATTGTCAATAATCTTTAGTGTTTGTATTAATTTAAGTGTTAATAATGGTATAAAAGGTAGTAAATAATAATGGATGTTCTGATTGTTAGATACAATGTTCTGAGATTTAGCAAAAAATGGCAAAAAAAGTTAAGTTATTTATATTAACAATATTAGAAAAAAGCATCCTATGTAGCATATCTGGAGAATAAGAGTTCTCAATTAAAATGTTTTTTAACAACTGAAGATATTTTTGTAGATAATCTGAATGAGAAAGCTTTAAAACACGTTCTTTTAATCCTGTTGGATTAAAAGAACGTGTTTTAAGGTTCATTATCATCTTATTTGGATGATGTAATAGCGTATAAATCTATTACTACACCAATTGCACTTTTTATTCCGTTTATTAAAAGATATGTAGATGATTTAGTTTTGGCACTTCCTAAATACAAAATTGATGAAACAGTTAACATTTTCAGCAATAATGAAAACCAGATGGGTTAGAAAACCCATGTAATCAACATGCAGAGCATGTAATCGACAAAGACAAAATTATGGATTTTGATAACATTAAAATTTTATGTAATAAAAGTAATACATTCAAAAGGGCCTTTTTAGAAATGGTTTGTATTAGAAGTGATAATAATTTTAAACAAAAGATTAGAAGTTCAAAATCTAAGCAAAATTTGTAATTACTTATATTATTTCTCTATTGTTTATTTATAAAACCAGTAAACTATCACATTTTAATTTAATTTTCCATATACTTGTTACAATTTTTCAAACATCTATCAATGATAAATAAATCTTCTTTTTAATAACTAAATAAAAAAGAATTTTTAAATAAAATTTTTAAATAAAATTGTAAGTTGACATTTATGACATTGAGGCTTATTTGTAATAATTGCTCGCTATTCTAACTTATTTATAAATTCAACTGTTTTTGTGTTAAAAAAGTTTTTCGAAATTATGTTACAAAATTTAAAAGAAACATTCATTAGATAATCTAATTTTTAAAATAATATTTTGAAATGTATTTAACAGTATAAATTTATTAACAAAACTAATTTTTTTGGTAAGTTAATATATATTTTTTATTTTTTCTAGTTCTACTTTGTAAGATATTTTGTATTTTTTAGCAGATCTTGAAAATGATTCTAAACACTACTGAAAGCTCGAGATAAAAAATAGTTACCTAAAAAGCCCCTTTTATTGACTCTAACCCAAAACATATTTATATATTTTTTTCAAACGAGTCACAATGATTTTTGAGGATGCAGTCAGTTTATTTGGCCCACAAGACAAATTTAATTTAATTCTAAACAGTATAGAAAAACACTGGAATGAGATCAAATCGCACTGTACATTAAATTTAAATACATTAAAAGAAATATTATATTTTATTTTTGATACTAATATATGCAAATTTAATAACAGTTATTACAAACAAACATCAGGTACTCCCATGGGAAGCTCTTTATCACCTATCATTTGCAATTATGCTCTTGATGATCTCATTGAGGAATGTTTAAAAATAATACCTTTTCATATTCCATTTGTTAAACGTTTTGTAGATGATTTGATCCTAGCTGTACCCAATGACAAAATAACTGACGTCTTAAATATTTTTAACAACCAATGTAGCCAATTACAATTTACTGCAGAAAGAGAACAAAATAACAGTCTCCCTTTTTTAGATATGATTGTCCATCGCACACATGACAATAGTCTTAAAACAGAATGGTATCGAAAACCAATTTCTAGCAATAGATTCATTAATTACTATTCCGAACATCCTACAAAAATGAAAATAAACTTAATTTTGGGGCTAAAAAGAAGAGTAACTAGAATAACTCATCCAACATAGAGAGAACAAAGTTTAAAGAGACTAAAAAATATACTAATTGAAAATTCTTATCCCGTTGGCTTACTCAATAAATTAATTTTTAGTACTGCAAACTCTCCAAACTCCATCACATTGATCGACAATACCAACAATAAAAAACAAATCACAGTAAAAATGGCAAATCAAGAAATAAACAAAAGCCTGACAGTTAACACCTTAATACCAATAATACCACAAACTTTTGGATCTTTACCTTATATTCCATTCTTAACACCAAAACTTCTCAAATCATTTAAAGGATTAGAAAACATAAAAATTGCCACCAGAAATGTTAAAACCATAGCATATTTATACACTAAAACTAAAGATCCTTTAACAACTGATGAAAGTTCTAGAGTAGTGTATCAAATATCTTGCAAATACCTAATGACTGTGATAAAGTTTATATAGGAGAAACTTCTCGAACATTACACAGCAGAATTATTTCCCATAAAAGTGATGTAAAAACTAAAAAATCACAAGCATGTGCATTAGCTGAACACTCCATCAATTTAAATCACACATTTAATTTTTCACAAGCTTCAATTCTAGAGAGGCAGAAACATGAACAGAAACGGTTATTTTTAGAAATGACACTTATACAAAAAAATAAAAAATGTGTAAATAGAAGATCAGATATTGACAAATTAAGTAACATTTATTGTTACATATTAACATATCAATAAATACCGTTAAGATCTCATTTTCTATTGACATCCTAACATTAAAAATTCATATGTGCTTAAGCCAAACTGCTGACTGGATTAATTTATATTTTTTATAGACAATTCAATAAATTATAATAAAAACTATTGTTACTGGTTTTGCTTTCCACATGAAGTAACTGTATTTTCATTCATATATGTCCATTAATCAAACCATGACAATGACATATATAGTGACAATATAGTTATTTTTAATAAAAAAATTTTTAATATATTTATAATGGTTTGTTTTGTAGAGTACAATAATATTAACAACTGTAATCTCACGACTAGTAAGTAAGACAATTAACAATTTTAACTAGTTAATTTATATTTCTATTTATAGATATCTTGAAAAAGAATTAAATTAAATTCGAAAGCTTGACAGTAAGTCAAAGAGTTTTCTTTGTCTTGTGGGCCAAATAAACTGACTGCATCCTCAAAAATCATAACTTATATTCAAATCAACAGTCAAGAATACCACCATCTTATATATATATATATATATATATATATATATATATATATATATATATATATATATATATATATATATATATATATATATAATATACCTTTATTTTCGCAATTCTTAATAGTAGATTAAATTTTTAGATGTCGTAGCGGTGCATGCATAAATATGACTTCAGTATGCAATAATAAACACGATTGTTATGATGGCTCTGATGAAGATGGACTCTGTTCTTCATCTTGTGTCGGTGTGAAAAATCCCTGTAATCAAATATGCGTGAAAACACCATCTGGGCCAAGATGTGAATGTAGACCGGGATATAAATTGCTAGGAGACGGAAAAACGTGTATCGATGATAATGAATGCCAATCGGATCCCCCAATCTGTAGTCAGTTATGTCACAATAAAGAAGGAGGTTATTCTTGTGATTGTTATAATAATTTCCTTTTAAGGTGAGTTTCGCTTTGTTTGTATTACTATATATTAAATATTACCAATTTCGATATCGATTCAGTCAGATTGTATTAGAAGGCAAAAGTAATGATTAGTATGTTTACTAGTAAGTAGCAACAAAAATATTGCAAATGGAAACTGTATGTAGAATGTTATATTCTTATAACCTCCATTAAAACAAGAAGCAATAATTATCAGTTAAAGAACTAAAGTTATTAAAAACTGATAAAATTTGTAAATAATAGACGTGGGAACAAATAATTTTAACTTTTTAAGAAATTAATTTAAAGAATACAAAGAAATTGCTGCACTGAGAGAAACAAGTATTTATGAAGGGTTTAACTAAATACCAGTTCCTGTCGAGGATTACCAAAATATTTGACTCCGATAATTCTACAGCAAAAAAAGAGGAAAAAAGACAAGTCGAAGATGATATAGTTGCTTTTCATCATCATCATCTTTGGCTCGACAATCCTCTGTGGATCTTGGCCTGCTCTAAGATTCGTCGCCATTCTGTTTGGTTTTTGGCAACATGTTGCCATCTTCTGACTTTTAATATTCGTAAGTCGGTTTCTTAATAGAACTTAATAGGCAGATTAGAAAAGGCATCAGACAACAAAAAAGAAAAGAAAACGAAAAATTAATAACAACAACTATTGAAAAAAATAAGAGTATGAAATGTCTCAGACCGACACTAGGACGACGTCAGATGATATCATTACTAGGAAAAGACGAAAATGAAATCACAAGTAGAGAAAACATACTGACACGAATAGAAGAATTTTACACAGAACTTTACAGATCACATCAACAAGATGATGAGATGAGACCAGCACGGAAATTAATAAAAAATGTTGGATCAGAAATAATGCCAAAAGTAACAATTTTAGAGGTAACTACATTGGAAAACATGAAGAGAAATAAAGCTGCAGGAGAAGATAGTATTACTACAGATATGATATTAGATGGAGGTAAGGAACTAATTGCAATTGTAACTAAGCTTGTGGACAGTTGTTTACATCAGGGCAAAGTCCCTAAGAGCTGGAACAACTCTACAGTAATCTTATTGCACAAGAAAGGTGATAGTCGAAAATTGGAAAACTACAGACCCATCAGCCTACTGTCACACCTGTTTAAAATACTTACCAAAGTCATAACTACTCGACTAACAAGGAAATTAGACGAATACCAACCATATGAACAGGCAGGTTTTAGAAAAGGCTATTCAACTTCCGATCACCTGTTAACCACAAAAATATTAATAGAAAAATGTAACGAATACAAGTTTCCAGTTTTCCTTGCATTTGTAGACTACGAAAAAGCTTTCGATACCATAGAACACACGGCCGTAATAAACGCAATGCAAAATTGTAGAATAGACAGCAGATATATTAACTTAATAAATGAAACTATGAACCAAGCTACAGCTACATACTACCTAAATGAAAATGAACACACGAACCCTGTACCATTAAACAGGGGAGTCAAACAGGGAGATACTTTATCACCCAAACTGTTCACCTTCGTTTTGGAGGACGTTTTTAAAAACCTAAATTGGAAATATAAGGGAATAAACATCAATGGCCGCTACCTCAGTAATCTACGATTTGCAGATGACATAATCCTGATAGCTACTGACCTACAAGAAATGCAAACCATGCTTGTAGAACTTCATACCGAATCTTCTAAAATAGGACTGAAAATGAATTTAAACAAAACAAAAGTCATGCAGTCCGAAGACACCGTGACAATAATAAACGATAAAGTTATAGAAAAAGTTGAAGAATATATATACTTGGGACAAAAAATAATCCTAAATAGGGAAATTCAGACTGAAGAAATAAAAAGAAGAAGAAAGTTAGCCTGGGCAGCATTCGGTAAACTAAACTATATACTCAGAAATCAACAAATTCAATTACATCTTAGATCTAAAGTTTTTGATGCATGCATTATTCCGATATTAACTTATGCGGCACAAACATGGACAATCACAAAAAAGAATATGAATATACTTAGAGTCACTCAACACGCGATGGAAAGGGGAAAAATTGGCTACAAGTAGCGTACAATAAAAACCAATGGAAAGGAAGACTTGAAGAGGCTTATGTTCAGATGTGGACGTGAATGGCTAGACGAAGAAGAAGAAGTCGGTTTCTACTCCATCTAACCACCTAATTCGCGGTCGGCCTTTACTTCTTTTTCCTACAGGTGTTCCTGTGGTTAGCTTTTTAGCAATGGTATTTTCTGGCATTCGTATTATGTGTCCAGCCCATCTAAGTCGCTGTGTTTTAATGAACGTTATGACATCTGGCTCATCAAAGACCTGATACAATTCAAAATTATATCTTCTGCGCCACTGCCCTTGGTCGTTTACAGCTCCAAATATTTTGCGGAGTATTTTACGCTCAAATATTCCCAAAAGTCTGTCATCTTTCTTCGTTAGTGTCCATGTTTCTGCTCCATATGTGAGGACCGGCCTCAGCAATGTTTTGTATATAATAATTTTAGTTCTTCTTTGAATGTTTCTTGAGTGGAAATGCTTTTGGAGTCCATAGTATGCCCTATTTGTAACATTTATTCGTCTTTTGATTTCTTCGCTTGTTTTATTGGTAGCAGTCAATAGCGACCCAAGGTATGTGAAGTTGTCAACACGTCCAAAGGTATGACTTTCAAAGACTGTTTGTCGTTCCTCATTTGCTATCGGATCCTTTGTAACCAACATGTACTTGGTTTTGTCTTCGTTGATGACTAGACCGACCTGTTTCGCCGCTGTTTTCAATTCTAGGAGATATTGCTCAACATCTCGCTTGCTACGCCCTACTATGTCAATGTCATCAGCATATGCTAAGACTTGTATCGATCTATTGTAAATAGTACCGCCATCCCTAATTCGTGTATCTCGGACTGCCTTTTCTAAGGCAATATTAAATAGGAGGCAAGCCAGAGCATCTCCTTGTCTGAGTCCATCCTTTACCTCAAAGGATCTAGAACTCTCTCCCTGTATTCTAACAGTGGCTTCTAAGTTAGACATTGTCATTCTTGTTAGTCGGATAAGTTTGTCTGGTATACTAAACTCATGCATTGATTGGTATAGCACTGTTCTCTTGACACTGTCGTATGCTGCCTTGAAGTCGACGAATAGGTGATGGGTTTCAATATTGAATTCTAATGTTTTCTCGAGAATCTGTCTTATTGAATGAATCTGGTCAATTGTTGATTTTTCTGCAGTGAATCCAACTTGATATTTACCAACTATGCCCACTGTGTAAACTTGCAACCTTTCGTAGAGAATATTTGCTAGTATTTTGTAAGCAGTTGTTAACAGGGTTATACCTCTATAGTTGTCACACTGGAGCTGGTCGCCTTTTTTATGTTACGGGCATATATCACGCCTTGAGACCATTCACAAGGCATGGTCTCATTATGCCAAACAAGAAGTAAAAGCTTATGCAGTGTCTGTAGTAGGGCATCGCCACCATTCTTGTAGAGCTCACTGCAAATTTGATCAACTCCTGGTAATTTATTATTTTTAAGCTTTTTAATGGCTTGGGCAACGTTTTCGATGGTAGGTGGTCTTTCGTTTGGGTTAAAAGGATTCCAATCATTTCGATTTGCTAGGGTGTTGTCTGCTTCTTCGATATGATGGCCATTAAATTTTGCATCGAAAAATTCAACCCATCTGTTTAGGATTGAGGCCGTATCATTTAGGATGTTTCATTCTGCGTCCTTACAGCTCCTTATTCTTGGCTTAAACTCTTTGCGCATTTTGTTTAGATTTCTGTAGAACTTTCGAGTTTCATTTTGATTTCTTAGCCATTCAGTGCATTCCAATTGCTTTTGCTCAAATTGTCTTTTTTTCTTCTATGTAATCCTTTTTCTTCTCTTCTTAGTATCCGGTATTCTTCCTTTGCTCTTCTCGTGCATCCAGCTTGATTTGTCTTTAGGTATGCCCTGTTTTTGTTATCTGTTGCTTCTTGGCACTCCTTGTCAAATCATTCGTTTTCTTTAACTGGTTTGGTTTTCCCCAATATTTTTGTTGCTTTCTCAGTTATTATGTTTTTACATTTTGTCCACAGTTCCTCTACATTTTCCCCAACCTCCAGGCTCTCCATTTCCTCGTCCGTTCCTCCTACTATCATGTTTTTAGTACTTGCAAAGTTTATTAGTCTCAACCCGTTATCATTTGACTCTTCATGTAAGCTCTCACGTCCTATAGTTGGCTGAAAAAATGCTCTTTGCCAATTTTTGCATTAAGGTTCCCAGCAATGATTTTCACGTCATGACGTGGACATCGATCATATTCTTTATCTAAGGTGTCATAGAATTCATCTTTTTCATTATCCTTCTTTTCTTCCGTAGGTGCGTGTACACTAAGTGAGCTATAATTAAAGAATTTTCCTTTAAGACGTAGATAACATATTCTGTTGTTTATGGGTTTAAAGTTAACGACTAATTGCTTTGCTTTTTTACTGACTAGGAAACCACTGCATAGTTGCTTTTAAACAATCTAGAAAACAACCAGATTTTTCTGCTGAAATAATTATTTCAGCCAATCCTTTAAATAAAACTTTAAGCTAGAGCTCTGTTACTACTTATGAGTCTGCTCCAGTCTTCCAAATGTAATAAATTCTTCTTCTTCTTCCTCTTTATAAGCAATTCTGCTTGTTCATTGGCGGATTAATACTTCCATGGAAGGTTGTCACTCCATCTTTTGAGTGGTCGTCCGATAATTCTTCTACCGATTGGTGACTTATATCTTGCTACTTTGACGACACAGGTCTCATTCATTCTGCTTATATGGTTATTCCATTCTATGTTTGTATTTTATGTGATTCGTTTATACACTGTACTTTACATTTTCTTGTAATGTCTTCACTTCTGATTGTTTAAACGACAAACTAACATCAATAAACAACACATTAGATTTAAAATACATATTACTTGTAGTGACTTAGTGGGTATGTCCTATGTTTTAATATTATTTTAATTGTGACGTCTA